ATGATGTAGTTAAAAAACTATATTGGATGATAGTCATTATTTTTGAGTGTTTTGGACAGAGATAAATCATGGGTCAAAATTGACCGCCACCACCATGAATGGTAATCTTTCGAACACAACACAAGGGTTAAGTAAGTTGTAGAGAGGTATTTACAACTGTGGTCTACGTTTTTTTGGTATGAATATTAAATGGTTTGAGTACTTTTTCCAGCATCCAGAGGTAGGAGAAGTACTTAGATCTTGTACTTTAGTAAGAAGTACCAGAGTGTAGGAATACTCTGTTACAAGTATAAGTCCTGCATTCAAAATGTTACTCAAGTAAAAGTACAAAAGTATAAGCATCAAAATATACTTAAAGTACCAACAGTAAAAGTACTCATTATGCAAATTGGCCCATTTCAGAATAATATATGTTTTGTTTATATGTATGTTATCAAAGCTGCTAAAGGTGCAGCTAATTTTAATCAGTCTGTATACTGCAGGGTATCTTGTGAATCTAACTCCAGGTGTAATTAAAGTCTTATTTAACTGTTGTTTATATTTCACATGATTAATCCAAATCTGCAAAGTAACTAAAGGCATTAAATACATGTAGTGGAGTAAAAGTACACTTTGTTGTGGGGCAGAAGAGCAAAGTAGCAATTACATTGAAATACTGTTAAAGTAAAGTACAAGTTTCTTAAAATTGTACTTAAGTACAGTTCTTGAGTGAATGGTTACTTTACACCACTGTGAATGTCCGAGTTGATGTGATGATCTTCTCTAAACAGGTGAAGAGTCACTACATTTTGACAGCACACTCTTACATTTGGCCCTCGCCGGATTCCGTTTAAGCCTGTACGTGGCAGTTAGAGAGCAGTACACAGCAGCCGATGCTGGAGCGGCTAACGTTACTCCCCGGCAACAATTTCACTCATACCGTCTGACATCTTGCACTCTTACAGGATACACTGAAACAAGGAGGGTTCTCTATATCAACAGCTTTATTGTGAAGCTTGCTATACAACACTTTGAAACATGTTTACCGTGGCGGAGCTGATTGTCTTGCTGGCCGTCCTGTCCTCCACTGCGTCCGGCTACTTTGTTAGCATAGACGCCCATGCCGAGGAGTGCTTCTATGAGCGGGTCAACTCCGGCACAAAGATGGGCCTCATGTTTGAGGTAGCCGAGGGAGGCTTCCTGGACATCGATGTGGAGGTGAGATGATAAACCAACCACCTAATGTGGAGGAATGTGTTTTGTTTTTTAACTTAAACCTGATGCTCACACACAAGGCCTGTGCTAGCTAGTGTTAGCTTCCGCAGTCTCTCTGTGTAACGTCAAGTGGACTACTGCAGTCCAGTTGATGAATGTTAACTTATTGTAATTCAAAGTTGAATAACAAAAACATCATATCTTATTATTCGGTCCGTTTTCTTTGATCTAAACCCGAATATTGTAATTGAATTATTCATTAGGATACAGGAAGTGCAGCATTAGCACTATGTCCGGCTTAGTTATGCTAGCATTGCTGGACTCACTATGTAGCCAATAATGTATTTGAGTATAATCCAAAGAAAACATTTACTATCTTCTTTAACTTATTTCTTTGAAACAAGTGCTGTGGTATAACTTGCAAATGATGGGTTTAATGTACACAGATCTTGCTGCCATATGTTACAAGTGTGCTCTCATGCAGCAGTGATTTTTACTCACATATTTTGCATTTTCCTTCCAGATAACAGGGCCTGATGGTAAGCAAATTTACAAAGGCGACAGGGAGTCAAGTGGGAAATACTCTGTGGCAGCACACATGGACGGAACCTACAAGTTCTGCTTCAGCAACAAGATGTCAACCATGACACCCAAGATTGTCATGTTCACGATTGATATCGGAGAGGCCCCTAAAGGACAGGACATGGAGACAGAAGGTACTTTAGGGGTGCATGTTTTGATTGATGCCTGTGAAGAGAGAAATTAAGAAATTCCATATGGCATTATGTCAAGCCAGATTTTTAAAGATCATCCAGCATGCAAACCACTTGTTTCTTTTTCTGCTGACCATGTGTCACTGTTTGATAGTTTCTTTCCCTTTTTTTTGACTTTATTTTGGGCACTCTGTTCCTCTTCGTAGGTGGTGAAAGCTGGGATGGTAGGGCACAGGGCAAAACTGCTGTTGTGAAATAGACTTGAGTTTGTGATGCACTGCAGTTTTCGCTAACCAGCGTTGTTTTGTAGCTTAAACTAATATTGTGCATTTCTTAAACGCCTAGGAAGTTTTATTGTTTGTGAATGGCTTGACTATTTGCACAGTAAGAACATGTATGACATAAAAAAATTCTCTGGTGATGGATCACCGAATCACCTGCAACATACATCACAATGACATCTGTTATGCATGTACTGCATACCTCATGCATGTACCTTTGTGTGCACATCAACTGTGTTGTGGCCCTTTTTCTGATGATCACTTTGACCTGTTTCAGCGCACCAAAACAAGCTGGAAGAGATGATCAACGAGCTGGCGGTTGCTATGACGGCTGTAAAGCATGAGCAGGAGTACATGGAGGTTCGAGAGAGGATACACAGAGCAAGTGAGTCTAGAGCCAATTACACTGTGTAGAAACAAATTGTAAATGTTTGTTTTTATATCCTGAACCCGTCTTCTTTTCTCTTTCTAGTCAACGACAACACAAACAGCCGAGTGGTGCTGTGGTCGTTCTTCGAAGCTCTCGTTCTGGTGGCAATGACACTCGGACAGATTTATTACCTGAAGAGATTTTTCGAAGTACGGCGAGTGGTTTAGTGCGGTTAAATGATCCCTCTGTGTCCTTCACTGATTTCTCCAACACCATGACAGTTATTTACACTCTGGAAATGAGACCGGCAGATTTGAGTAAAGCCTAAATATGATTGGATCTCGGAAGTTTGTTCACCTGTTACCTGTTTGGTTCCTTCTTTATAAATGTAATTAGTGTTTGTTTGGAACGAATGGCCAAAATATTCTGGGATAGATGTCATTTCATTAGTTATAACTTTTTGTGTAAAATAATTTTCTGTCCAATATTGTTTTATATTTACAGTTAAGTACAAATTACTCGCCAATACAGTTTTACCTATGTGAATGACTGTGAGGCTCATCATTTTAAGTAAAGACAGTTTGAAAAGACTTAGATATGCACATAAATTGATTAATTTAAGGATCCACATTAGAAGCACAGGGGTGTGCCTCAGTCCAGGATCAATACATGGATAAATGTGAGATTTTATACAGGAGAATTTAAATGGGACCCTTTCCAGTGATAAAAATGACACGCATGAAAACGCAAATCATTTGATGTTTTTTTTTTGTCTGAGATGCAGAAGGTTTTGTTTCCAGCATCTATGCCAAGTTAGACAATGTACTGGCAGATATCTGAAATCTGTACATTGGGTTTATCTCTCAAACAACAAATTGCACTCCTGATAAATGCATCTAAATATCTGAAGGATTTACACTGTAGCTAATCATTAAGGAAAACTAAAGCTTCTAGCTCGGTCTGTTGATTCAAGGCAATCCACGCTGTGGGGAAGGGGGCTTCAGTGGACACCTTTTGCAGGGAAACTGTTTGATTCCCTGCGTAGTTCAGAAAATGGTAACAGTTTCTTGGCCTTGAGTTAATTTTTAAACACCTACATTTGAAAATGTCCACTTGGCGGTAAGACCTTGAAGAGCTAAGGCTGTGTGATTTTAAACTGAACTACTTGGAGTGAAACTTCAAGCAAAGTGTGGAGGAACACTGAGATGACATGTTACATGTTGAGGGAGGGTGGGTGGGGGGTCTGACACCTAATGACTGCTGTGTGCTTTAGTTGCTTCTACTATAGTTCTTTTGTTGGGGTTAGGGATTTTAAATTATATGATTGTATACAATTTTGAACTGTTTGTTTTTCCTGGAGCATATCCTGTGACATGCTGCTGTGTGGCTGATGCTTTTCAAATTAATATCTTTTACCTGTTTATTTCCCCACCAAGGTAAAAAAACGTACGTCCAGGACAGTAGCTTCACATATAGTACACATCATGCATGTTGTGTGTCACAGAATATGCTCCAGTTTTTTTATTAAAACAATCTTTGGTGAGCTCTGGCAGGTAAACTGCTCTGTACACAGTCTCTCCTTTTTGTGATTACAACAACTAAATCTGATAAATGGATCTGTACAAATGTAGAATGGTTGTCTGTGGAAAAAAGCCCCAGGTTTCATAATAAAGCCAATATTCTGTACAATTACTTGAGTGTCTTTTTTAAACAGGTGGTGGCGTCTTTAAGAAAGTTTGAATGCAAATGTGAGGAATTTAGCCTGAGCCTTTTAAAGATCATTAATTGCGGAATTTCCTTGTCGTAAAAGCTGTTACTGAACTATTGTTGATTTGATTCGTTTTACTTGTTTTACCTGCTATGACAAGTCGAAATGTCTGCTCAAGGCTCCAAGAATCTGACTCGACTTGTTCAGTGCTCTCTTATGTAAATGATACTAAACAAACAAATGCTCCTCTTCTACCTTTTAAAGTTGAAAATGAATTCCAAAGTAATTGTGTTTTTATATAAATTGAATTATATTTAAAAAGTTGTCCAAAGCAAGATGCAGTATTAAAACCTAATGAAGTCACAAAAATACCAAGGCACTCCATAATGAATACTACCGGGTAGATTTTCTAAAAATACTATAATTTTATAATGTTAATAGCCAACGCATCGAGTACTTTTCAAAAGAACATTACTGAGGGCGGTGTATACAGTTGAACTAAAATCACCTTTACAGTCTGACTATACAAAAGAAAATGTAATTAAAATATCTAAAAGTAAAATAGTAAATAAAATAGTAAGACATTACTTCTACTTAATTAATGTAGATGGATGTCTATTCCATCCATGATGGCTATTTTACAGTAAAATACAAAATGGAAAGAGATACATGGCTACGCGGAACGATTCTCGTGACACCGCTTCGGTTCCCACCCGGTCTGTAAACAGCTGAGCACCCGGAAACAGGAGCAGCGTGGAGAGTCAGCCCAGCAGTGGCTAACAACTTTAGCATAAAACCGTGTTGAATGTTATATTAACAACATGGATAACACCACAGAGGGGACGTGGGAGAGTTTACCCGTAAAACTCAACGAGGGGATTTTACAAACGCTCGAGGAAGTGAAGTTCACGCACATGACACCTGTCCAGGTAACATGAACACTTTAAACCTGCCTCTTTAACACTGACTATGCTTCAACAACACTGATCAGTAAATACATCTGATTAATATTGTGGTTTCTTTCAAGGCTGCTTGTATCCCGCTGTTCATGAGAAACAAAGATGTGGCTGCTGAGGCGGTAAGTGTAACAAAATACATTAATCTAACTACAAATGATAGTCAAACTCGTATTTATTAGTCACTCTGCAGATTGAGATTAATAATACCAAATATATATATATATACCTAATAAAGTATATATTTTAAAGTTTAATCTATTTAAAAGTATATAAAGTCATGTCAATTAGCCATTTTCTTTGCACAATATACATAGCTCTGTAAAGTGAGTATTTTTTACTGTTTTTACTATAAGTATATTTTGATGCTAATACTTTGACCAAGAGTTATTCCTGTGAACTGTTTTTTGTTTTGAAAAAGTACAGTCTATTAAATGCTACTTACCCTCTGCAAAAAGTTTCAAGAATTTCAGGAATATTTTTCCTCAGCACTACCTGTGCAGCTCACTAAATGTTGTACAATTGCAGGTGACTGGGAGCGGAAAGACTCTGGCTTTTGTCATTCCTATTATTGAGCTGCTCCTGAAGAGAGAAGAGAAGCTAAAGAAGATGCAGGTGACGAGGAAACCAACGCTCAATACTTATATTTACCTTCCATCTGTCACTGTAGAGCTTTCCAGTCTCTTAGATGCTCAGTCTTGTTGTACATGTTGTTTTCTGCAGGTCGGCGCCCTGGTCGTCACTCCCACCAGAGAACTGGCTCTTCAGATCAGTGAAGTGATGAAACAGTTCCTTCAAAAATTCCCACAGTTTACGTGAGTACAACATCAAGTAGGAGTCAAAACGGGGGAAATGTACCTTGTAAATGGTATTCAAGTAGTCCTAACTTAAAATAACAAATTGCAACCCTTAGAGAGAAATAACTGTGCCCTCCAGTCCTCATCATGTTGATCTATTTTGTTTGTTTTTATTAATTAAAATGCTTCTTGTATGTTTTTTTTAGGCAGATTTTACTGATTGGTGGCACCAACCCCATAGAGGATGTGGAGAAGTTCAAGGAACACGGGTATGCACTAGATATAACTTATTATGACTTTAGTAGTCAGGGTCCCTGTTTGCTGTCTTTATGCTAAGCTAATTGGCTCATGTCAACAGACAGGAATGACAGCAGTATTATTTTCTTCGTCTCGACTGATATTGTGCAGCTTGATCACAATGTTTTTAAAGTTAGACACCAGACAGGAGAATAATCCTAACCCAGTCACTTTAACATTGAAAAAAAAAAAAAAAAGCCTTGCAAGTTGTAGGAAAAAATACTTATCTTACCTGTAGATCCAACTAAGACCAGGAAATCCACAGCTACAAGCAGGTCATAAAGAAATACAAAAATAGATTCATCCAAACCCTGCTGCAGCTGCCTTCCATGTTGCCCTGGGAAGTCCAGGAAATCCAACTTGTTCTTGGAACCACTTTTTTACTTTAATCTAAAGATTGTCGAAAACTGGTTTAAACTTGAGTTAACTTCTCTTTTACTCCCTTTAATTCCTCTGTCCGTTTCTCTCCATGCTGTCTTTGTTAGTTCTTTCCCTGACCCCAGCTCACAGGTGTCTGACTGGTCTCACCTCTTTCCCCACCTTCCTTTCCTGTTAATAACCTCCACCTTATTTATTTCCCCCCCTTTTGTGACAAGCGTATATATAAAAAACGTCAAACTAGTCCCATTAGAAACAACAAAATTGAACCCTCTTTCCCCTAAATTAGATACCAAAGAACAGATAGCTGACAAAGAGGAGATGTTGGCATTCCATTGCCAGCATCATAAACCATGAGTGTTACATTTGTGCGTGTGTGTGTTTCAGGGCACACATAGTGATTGCGACACCGGGCCGTCTGGAGGATATGTTCAGGAGGAAGGCTGACGGTCTGGATCTGGCCAGCTCAGTGAAGGGTCTTGATGTGCTGGTTCTCGATGAGGCTGATAGACTACTCGACATGGGGTTCGAGGCCAGGTACTGACTAAATGTGAACTTTTCCCCTTTTTATGGAAGAAGAATTTAGTTCTATAACATTTATTTTGATATATATATATGTGACCTGCTCCATCGAAATCAGTCGCATTGACCCGAAGACACATTTTGAGTTGTATACACTGCTGGAAAGAGGAGATTCCTAGCTTTCTAATGATATCAGGATTGTTTTTGTACTCCAAATATTAAGCAAAATATGTCACATTATATAATGACTGTCACCGAGTCATCATTTTGAGAGAAAGGCCTTCAAAGTTTTCTCTTCTCTGTAATCCATCGATCTGATTGATTATTAGCGGCTAATAAATGATCAAAGTAGTACAGAGGGAAGATATTTTAGTTTGGATTGCTGGTCTGGAGGAAGCCCGTGAGTGTGTGTGTATATACGTGTGTGTGTTTGTGTATTTTTGCGTTTGTGTGTATTGTATTTGTTTCCCGGGGAAAACCCTCACGAGAAACACCGGCTGTTGTTATGCCTGCTGTGACGTTAAGTTACTCCGTTCTCCGCTTGTAATTATGCCGTTACAAGCTTCAAAGTTGTATTTATCATCTGAATTTGCCGAAAACAAGTTTAATATTCTGAAAACCAAGACTTTGTTTATTTGAAATCAGATGAAAACAAACTTTAACGGACCCTGCCGTGTTATCTATGATTACTATACACCTTACATTCATAATTTCAGCGGAGGGAGGGGAAGCAGCGCTGCGGAACAGCAGATTGCGAGTGGGAGCTGTCATCTTCCCTTTACAAGCTTCAAACATGTATTTATCGTGTGATTTTGGAAATAAAAGTTTCATATTCTGAAAGCCAA